GAGAAAGAAAGAAAGAGAGAGACAGAGAGAGAAAGAAAGAAAAAGAGAGAGAGAGAAAGAAGGAAGGAAGGAAGGAAAGAAAGAAAGAAAGAAAGAAAGAAAGAAAGAAAGAAAGACCAGAACCAAACTGTCGTGCAAAGGATCGATTGGGATTATCGATTATACCTCACAGTCCCAAGGAAACAGAATCTGCTCGGCTACTTCTATTGATTATCACAGTTTAAATGGCGTAAGAAGCAAGCCGATTTTTTTTCTGAGTGTAAAACGAGGCAGAGGGAAAAGACTAAAACTGTAATTTGAACCTAACGAGGCAGATTTGGCACAGGAATAAAGAACCGTAGCTAAAGCCACTTGGGGTTTTCAAAGGTCACACTAGAAACCAAAAGCGTATCTGTTAAAATAAATTCTATCCTGTTCTTGAGGAATCTAAATAATATAACTCCGCCTTGGTCGTAATCTCAGTGTGGAATGTCTCAAATTTGCTAAATTTAAATCCTCATAAAAACATAAGATGATCAAAATTATAGCTTTATGAACATGTATATTTCCCTCACAAAGTTTTTATTGAATTTTTGAAGTTTTCATACAGTATAGTTTGATGAAATTTAGATCCCTGCCCCCCTTCCACACCTGTGGTCTCGTCAAATTTTCATATCTCCTGATGTAAATGTACGTAAATATCATAATAAAACGCACTGCTTCGTAAATATCTATTTATTTATTCATTTGGTTTTTTCCTGGATTGTTTTTTGACAAGTCCCCCTAGTCACGCCCACCTGGAAGTCACCATGTTTTTGCTTTTGTTCTGTTTTTACTACAAGGTCTGACTCACGTTCCCTAGCTGGTGGAGGCTGGCCTTGATCCCGTGACCTCCCCGGTGCTGGGATTACACACATGTCCCATCATGTCCAATTCAAGTTTCTGACTTCCCCCTAGATGATTCAGTGTAGACCTTGGCTACTACTGAATTAATAAACCTTGGTTATTTTCACTTGTGGTTTATGAACTTATTCATACTTGGGGGGGGGATAGTTGCATGTCCAAGTCACGTTACTGCAGGAGACCAAACCTTCTTTCTGAAGTAAATGAATAGGTCCACTGTAGCGGAACGTGCATCGCCTTAAGCACCGGCCTGTTCTCATCCTAGAAACGCCAAACGCGAGCCTGATGGAAAGATTGCACAACTTCATTGTTAATCGATATTGCAATTAAATAAATAAATAAATAATAAAAGCTCCGGCTAGAGAGCTGGCTCCCCGGTTAAGAGCACGGGCTGCTCTTGCAGAGGACCCGGGTTCAAATCCCAGCACCCACATGGCAGCTGAGAACCATCTGCAACTCAGGTTCCAGAGGATCGAATGTCCTCTTCTGATCTCCAAGGCCATTGCACGATATGAGCGCGCTTACGGACATACAGGCAATACACTCGCATACGTAAAATAAAAATAAAATTTAAAAAACTGTAATCCCTCGAAGCAGAGTGTGATGGGTGGATGCGTGTACAATCATGGATGCATGGACCAGCACGGATGCATGGACTAGCATGGGCACACGCACTACCATGAATGCATGGACTAGCACGGATGTGTGTATCAGCATGGATGCATGTGCTAGCATGGATGCCTCTATAACCATGAATGCATGTACTAACATGGATGCATGTGCTCTGAACCCGGAATCCGTCTCTCCAGCCCCTCCCAGCTGCTCCTAAATTCCATAAAATGGACAATTATCAAGATCCATCCCAGCCACTCAGCTCAGGAAATGAAAACATATTTTTGAAAGTATCTGGGGATTTGAGTAAAACCCGGTTTCCACGTTGGCCGGACCTGTCCTCAGTGTGCAGGAAGGACAGTCCTCACGCTGCACCTTGTGGTGTGAAACGCTTTACCGGCTCCCTCGGCACCTGAGCAACTCTTTCCAACCCCATCGACAGGCATGACCAGGCCCATGTGTGTTATTACAGCTTTAAAAGGACAATAAGAGTCAGGAGAGGCTTCAGGTGGGTGTTTAAAACCGAACATGCTCTCACACGGCTGATGGACGTCCACGGAGTTTTTGGCACAGAAGTTTGCCGTCGCCTGCTTCCGGTTGGTGTTAGGAAACTTACACACATGTTAGGGCGTGGGGGGCTGGGCAATAAGTGTGTTGCTTCAATTTCCCAGGCAGAGCAGGTCCTGAGTGGTGTCCGTGCCTGGGCCCTTGAAGTATGTCAGGATGTGACA